TAAAGATGCGCTAGAGTTGAGATATTAGATTTATTATGCGAAGATAATCTGATAACATTTTTTTATTCATGTAGCTAATTATAGTTTTAGGTTTATAATCTTTAATTTTATTCAAATATCAATAATAATAGAAAAAAAAACACCATTGAGCTGAATTTTGGATAGTTTTCAAGAAATCTATGCCTCCCGCGTTTGACACTAGCGGTCAACCATAGACGACTTTGGCGTGCTGGACATAGTATTTGCTTAGATAAAAATCCATTTTTATTAGTTCAATGTTTCTTAGTACTTGTGGCTCTAGAAGACTTGTTTTTTATACTCACATGTTGCTGGGTTATTCCTATTTTGAGGAGTGTAGAATTAAAATACCTGTAATAATTTTCCAATATCTATATTTCATATTTTTCGGAGCCGGGTTTTTTGTCAACTATAGACGTCGTTGGCGCTCAGGGCCCGCAGGTGTTGGTCAAGTATAGGCGACTTTGGCGCTCAAAAGGTTAAAGGATTCATGGTAAATCAGCTGGAAACTAACTTGTTTCGTTATCATAACATGATTCTATTTTAAATGTGTTGTTATAAACAGATAAGAATAACTTAACCGATCTTCTTTAAAAACAGATAAGAATAACAGTTCTTATCTGTTTTCAAAGAAGATCGGTTAAGATTAACAGTTAAATTGTGCCGTAGCATTTGTTACTCTATAAAGAATTCATTAGAAATCAGCTAGTAATTCGCTTGTTTAATTATTGTAACATCATAATTATTTAAAAATTATATTAGCACTGTAATGATGACACCGTAAATAATCAATCGAAAAAGAGAATCGATTTTTTAAATGTGTTTTGTGATTGGCAATACTTTTTTTTATTCACAAACTAATGACATAATGATTTACCTAATTTTTATTATTATGTTTCCGGTACTTTTAATTTGTGCAAAAATATTCCCATTGTTTGAGGATAAATGAATACCGCGATTAATAACCATAAATAAAGATATAATTTTTTAACAAATTCACATTGTTGGGCGTTCCATGGCCGAAAATGGGCGTCCCCCTTTAACTTAATAGTAATTTATAAAACCGATTACTAATATCACTGGTATTTAAAATCAGTTATAATTTTTGAGCAGAAATTGTGGTTGCAGATTAGCTCTGTAATTAGATTACGAGCCAAAGGATTGGTGCCAAAGAGATTCTTACTATAAGTAGGTTATTATTACAATTGTTTTGTTTAACGTGGCAAAAAGGGGTGGACTATGGCTCGAAAACGTCTTAACAAGCAACTACTTTACGACTTAATAATGTCAAAAGCTCTTATATCTTTATTCTCGCTCTATAATTTTTAATATTTTTATAGATTAACACAATGATGTTATTCTAACCAGTAGCATCTGATATTTGTTTAAACAAATAGTAAATTATTTATTAAAATTATATTACCCTATTTATTAGTTACTTTTAATAATATTTTGTATGTTAAGGGGCCTAATAAACATTTTTAGTATTAAACTGTTCCCAAACTAAAAGTACTTTAGTACAGCGTTGATATTTTAAGAGTATAGTTGATGTTCATTTATAATCTAATTAATGTAACAAAAGCTCCATTAGGATAGAGCTGTTAATTTTTTTTAACGGTGGTTACATTCCCCGCTGTGAGACAAAAAAATTATTTGAGACTTTATTAACAAACATGACGTCTTGCCGTATTAGTTATGTTTTCGTATTCAGTATTTTTGTTCCATGCAATTATACATTGTAGTATCTATAGTATATTCCATACAATTATATATTTGAACTTTACGACTTCACGGAAGTCGACACATACAGTATTGTTAACTTTTCGTACCTAATAAAACTAAGAACTCTATACGAAATTTCATTAAATATTTATTTTTTGGTATTAACAAATCCTAATATGTTATATTAACATATAATAACATATGATGCTGTCATTAAAATCCCTTCTCTATTAAATAACTCTAAATTAGGTAATTATTTCCATAAACTTTACTTTGTTTCGTTCCTAATTATATGACTGTTTAAATTCTGCTGATTCGAAATTCGAATATACATTCCACAGGTTACCAATTACTTACTTCTTACTAACGTTCGATCATATTATGTGACATACCAGCAATTTGCATCTTTACCGGGAGTAAAGTCAATGCTTTTTTTATTATATATCAAATGAGTAAAGTATACCTACATGAGTACTTAAATAAGCGTTTGTCTATGGTTTATTTATATGTGCCATCTGAAGGTATTAATAAGGTTTGCTTTCCTCTATAGACTAGTCTGCGAATGTGTCTGATTATGTATAATACTTATAAATATAAAAATGAATAGAAAACTTTCAGCAGATTTCTGTTCATGCTTCTGTGTTATAAATGAAAATAGTTTGAATGCTTGTAACAATACAGTGACCGTGGCTTACACTTTTCATAAACTGTATTTAAGTTTTACAACTTATTATTAGATGTTTATCCACCCCTAGATGTATTAATTATCTGGACCATCTATTCACTTGTATTACAAATTCAGTACAAATTTTTAAACTAAGTCGTAGTTAGTATACATAGTTTTCAATTAAACATACAAAATATGTGATTCCGTTTTTTTTTTTTTTGGAAAAATAAATCATCACTAGTAAATGACGTGATTCGTATAAAAATTAATATGGTAGATTCCCTATCAGTGCAGTGATTGATTCGTGGTCGTTAATACTTTATAGCTATCCTAATTATTTTAAGTCACATACTTATTACTTACGTTATTTATTATTGTATATGTATCAGCAGCGAATGTTTTCAAATTATAACCTCTGTACCAAGTTTGTTTTGTGCTTTGTTGAAAGTGTTATTATATCACTAACAGTGAAGATAATTTGTTTTATTTATATACCTATTTCATAAAAATTTTGTTGTACTATTTTAAAGATAGGTTTCGAGCTCTGGTTCTGTACTCGGATAGCCATCGTAGCCCTACTGTACAAACACTTCAGCACTTCGATATACCGACAGTCAACTTGGCACCGCTGAAGGGACTGCAGCACCGCCCAAATTTCGACGGAATCAAAGGCTTTCTCATAGTCCACATACGCTAGGCAAAGTGGCAAATTGTACTCTTCAGTCTTCTGTACAATCTGCCGCAGGGTATGTATGTGGTCTATGGTACTGAAGCCTTTTCGGAAACCGGCTTGTTCGGGAGGCTGGAAGTCGTCGAGTCTGCGTGCGAGACGATTCGTAATGGCTCTCGAAAACAGCACGCAGACGCGGCTCAGAAGGGAAATCGGTCTGTAGTTCTTCAAGAGAGCGTTGTCGCCTTTCTTAAAGAACAAGACCACCGCACTTCTGCTCCACGCCTCTGGAGTAGTGCCACCATGGAGGACGGAATTGAAGAGCTTCTGAAGGACTTCCAGTACCGGTGTTCCACCCGCTTTCAGAAGCTCCGCTGTAATTCCATCCTCGCCTGGGGCCCTGCCGTTTTTAAGGTGCTGGAGAGCCAATCTAATCTCGCTTAGACTGACGTCCGGGATATCATCGGAATAGTGTCGGATAAGACTTGCTCTTGGATCGTTACTCACACTTGCGTGTGGCTCCAACGATGATCAGAACCAGAGCTCGAAACCTATCCAACTGCAGAGAGGTGTAAGACAGGGTGACGTTATATCCCCGAAACTCTTCACCGCTGCTTTGGAAGACGTTTTCAAGCTACTGGACTGGAAAGGATACGGTATTAACATCAATGGCGAGTACATCACTCACCTTCGATTTGCCGACGATATAGTCCTTATGACAGAATCGCTGGAGGACTTAAGCAATATGCTCAATGACCTCAACAGTGCCTCCCAACGGATAGGTCTTAAGATGAACATGGACAAAACAAAGATCATGTTTAGTGAACTATGCGGTTGGGAGCACTATGCTCGAAGTGCGAGTAGGGAAATGAGTATGTGAGTAGGGTGTGAGTTTCTCTGCGTGATAGACTCAGAAATGAGGATATCCGCAGTAAAACCAGAGTGACCGACATAGCCCAAAGGATTAGTAAGCTGAAGTGGCAATGGGCCGGCCATATAGCTCGAAGAACCGATAACCGATGGGGAAGAAAGGTTCTCGAGTGGCAGCCTCGTACCGGTAGGCGTAGTGTAGGGCGACCCCCCACTAGATGGAGTGACGACCTGGTAAGATATGCAGGAAGTCGATGGATGCAGGTGGCTCAGGACCGTGCTTTGTGGCATTGCTTGGGGGAGGCCTATGTTCAGCAGTGGACTTGTGAAGGGCTGTAATGATGATGATGATGATGATTTTAAAGATTTATCTTATGCCCTGGCTCTGAGCTGTCTGACGCTGAAATTCCGATTAACCTAGCTATAACCAACCTGCGGACCGGGGGGCTTTGTGATTGGCTTACCTGAAGTTCCAAATTTATTGTACACCATTTCAAATTTCGCTCCCATCAAAGAACTGGTGATTCGTAACGGGAATGTGAGCCGAGCAGTCATTATTGCGCTGAATTAGTTTTAATACATAATTGTAATGTAATAGTTATTAAACGTCATAGAGATATATTTTGTAGCTATTTTTAAAAAAATGCTTCAGTATCGTTCCCAAAACTTGGGGCCTAGACAAAATCCATTTTCTGTAAGCGTTAACGCCAACGAAAAAATCTAATTGTATGGAGTTGGTTGACATTTGCTAATCAGATGTCACGTGATTGCTGCTTAATTGGTAGACAAAGTCATTATTCCTCAATCCTCAAGCGGAAAGGAACGTCGAAGTGAGCGTAACACGCTAACGACAAAAATGTTCATCAAAATAGTAGACAATTGCCACTTTTGACAAACGCCAATGATATTTTGACGTTTCCGCAACACGCTATATTAGCGGGAGATCGGACCCAGATGCTAACGCTCACAGAATACATTTACCCTGACGGGCTAACGCTAGAAACGAGTAAACAGTAATATTTTTGTTTCTTTGATTCAAATTAATTAGTGAAAATGCACACTTTGAGATTATTATGGACAGCTAATAATGAAACAACATTGCAAAGACGTCAAACAAGAGTAAATCGTCGTAAAATGGTGCAAATTGTGGAGATGGAGGAATTGGAATTTGTTCATCGTTTTAGGTTAGATAAACAAAGTTTTTGGCGTCTTTGTGATGATCTTCGGCGTTTGACGTCATTGAAAGGTACCCGGGAAATTAGTTTAGAAATCAAGGTAAGTTTTGTACCTACATAAAACCTTCCAACAGAGTTAAGTACCGTGAAATGTGGCAACTTGACCACATTTTTTTAACGTTTTTGATATACTTATAACCCAGACAGACTTCTTAAACAATTTATGATTTGTATATAGCAACAATAACTTGATCATCCATTTTCACTAGTTATTTCTTTGAAATTCATTTAACCTGACATTCTATTTAAAAAAAAGTAACAGAGGTCAAGTTGACACATTTGTGGCATCTTGACCTACTTATCAATTTTCATGGGTGCATGCATTTCATTTCCTTTTGTAGGTCAAATTGCCAATATTTTACGTTTTCGGATTTTAAAGCATAGTAACCCACTTTGGATTTATAATAAAAACTGGTAAACCTGGATACTAGGTCAAGTTGCCACAGGATCGGTAACGATTTTCATACAAAACATGCGTATTGGATAGGGTTGTCACCAGTGGCGGCGCAAGACCTAAATTTTTTGTAGGCAAGATACATTTTGCGTGGCCCCCTGCCTGCGCAAGAAGACGGATTATATAAAATGGAAAACAAAACACTTGACATTATGCAATTTTTATTCCTACAAAATCATTAAGTACCAACAACAAATAATTTCAAAGAAAAATGAAGAAATAGATATTCTGCTTTTTATGCTTAATTTTGCACGACATTACATTCCTGAGACAATTTTTAATGAGTTTTCATTTTAAGAAGCTTCCTTCACCGGAGGCTGTACTGATCGGTATTGTTAAATGACGATGTAAATGTTTGGTATATTTTTTTAAATTATTTTCTGTAACGTATTGGAGAAGCTGTTTCACATAATATGTTAAGAAATTAGGTATCTTGAATTGTAATTATTCGTATAATTCGTAAGGTTTAAAATCACTGCTTTCACCCACTTGCAGGGCTGTTTGTAAATCTTGACAGTTATTTTAATATTAGATGGTTTGGAATATTTTTTAACTTGTTTAAATCATAAAGGAAACCAAAATTTTCATAATGTGGGTTTAAAGCCATAAATCTCAAATCCATATTTGTTATAATTAAACAAGCATGGTGTTGAAAAATTCTGTTTCATACTGACTTTTAGGAGACTTTCTTTTTCTTTTTGGCTACTCTTCTATTTTAAAGTCTTTTGGCAGATCATAACAGTTTTTTTTTCTTCAATAAACTGTTGAGAACCAGACAAGCATTTTTCGAAATAAGTTTGTCGATATTCTTTAATCCAGTCACAAAATGTACGTAAAAGTTCTAGAGCTTTAATTTGTTTTCACCTATAGTGACAACGCTACCAAAATAGGTAACAATTTTGCAAGTCCTTAAGAAGCTTTATGTCTGTTTCGTTTAGCTACACATGTACGTACAGCGCGAAAATATACGTACAGCAACCACGTGGGCTCCTGTACCGCACTCTTTACTCGATTGCCACGCGCCCACGATTAAATAAAGTCAATATTCTATGTCTAACATACAGAACGGGGAATCCTCAGCCTTTTTCGCCCCCATAGATTATTGTATATGTACATGTCGCCCCGCAGCGGGGATTCCCCGCAATAGCAACGCAAACTAATGTTGCTAGACTGAATAAAAACATATTTAGTGATGTCAATAATATTGATTCATAACAATGAAATATTTTTCGAAGCCTTTACGGTTTCAAGTAATGCATAAACCTCCAGGGCGCGAGGCCCCCTAGATCGCGAGGCTGTAGGCGGAGGCCCACGTCGCCCGCGCCTTACGCCGCCTCTGGTTGTCACAATAAACAAGACACTAGTGATAATAAACTATTTATTTATTTTCTAAACTTAATTACTAAATGAATATTTTACTTACATCTAATAGTTAAGAAAACATTACTTCATCATTTAAATTTTTAAATAAACTTCATCGTCGTCATTGTAAATAATATACTCGTCAGGATTTTCTGATATTTGCAGTATATTTATAGATTTTACAATGCAATTTTCAGGCAGTGAAGAATCTTTATCTACTCGTTTGGATTTTAAAATTTTAATATTATTATGTATATACTCATCGCCACCTCTGAAATTTTATTTAATATTTGTGAGTCGCTCATGTCACAGCCTTCCAGTTCTGTATCTACCTAATCTATCCTTTCAAATATTCCTCTTTCAATAATATACACATTTCTTGCTACATCTTCATCCGATTCAATTGGTGGATCTAGTGATTTACTATCAACTTGTTTGTTCAATTAATCTTCTTCAAGATCAATATCTATAATGAACTGTCACTACTCACTATGTAAACTAATTTCTATATCTTCTAATAGGTGACCCGCTCTCTACGTTTCTTGATATTTTAATAGGTTTCTTCTTTTCTTTCTTGCTATGTACCTTTTTATTACGCTTTTTTAATTCTATCCAGTAGAAATCACTTCATAGTGGTCTTTATTTCTGTCATCTGGATTTTCGATGTCACTTAAATTTCCACAGACTGACGGTGATTTTACTTTGCAGTCCAGTAAATTCATGTATGGTCTTGCCGCAAGTTTCCTACGATCTCGTTTTCTTGGAGGCATTTTATCCTAAAATAAATAGAGCTATATAGGTATGCGTAGGTAATTTAAATATGTATTTTAGGTATATAACGTGAAATAATGTTTGTCTGGAAGCTAAAATGTACCTTTCTTATGATTCTAACCATCAGTCAGCACAAATTTTGTTATGGTTTCTTTTAAGCTTTAGCAGTTTGTCAACATATTTATTTTATTTCGTGTCTTAATTTTTTTTGCCTTATGAATACCGATAGCGCTCAGAACCGAAATAAAATTAACAAATTTCACTACGGCAATCACTCGAAATAGATGATAAAAATTGCCGTCATTTGGTCAATACTGGATCTAATAAACGGCTTCGATTTCCAAACGAGTATACTTTCATGTTGTACATATATTAATTATTCTGATATAAAAAGCTAGATACCACTTTAAATCTTAATTTAATAATAGAAATCAGTAAGTGATACATTCGTCGAACAATGTTGTCGAAAACTGAAGATGAATTATGTACGAGTATCTCCACTCGTGAATCCACAGTGAATAAACTTTAATTTTGTATCAAAGCCATTCTAAATAAATGGATTCTGTTTCCAAGGTCGCAACAACAACGAGCCCAAATAAGACTTGAGTAAGTTATGCTATGACAAAAGTATTTAAGTATGAATACATACTTGAAATACTTTTTATTAGTAGCATATTCTTTGATGTACTTTACACTGAACACTATACCTTCCTTATGGCCAATAGGTACTTAGAAAGTTTGAGCCTTTCATGCACACTAGGTTCAAAATACTAGTATCAAAAAACATCTGTCCTTTTAAAAACAAAAAAATTAAGTATTATATTTTCCAAAATTACAGATTTCAGAGGCGATTTAGACTTCCGGGTATAGTTGGATGCATAGACTGTACCCATGTGGTATTTTTTATTAGGAAAGGTTATCATTCATTGAATGTACAAATAGTAAGTTTACATTTGTTTGTGGCTCAATTATGTAAAAATAGCTTTAAATAGTACTTAGGTACAGAAATATATTCATAGGATTATTATACATGTTCCATAATTTTTTCCTGTCAACAGGTATGCAACAGTAATTTAAAAACTACTAATGTAAATCCAAAGTTTGACGGAGCTAACCTCATTCATAGCAGAATGGAAACATTTATGCGAAAATTGCACCAAAATGGAGAACAAGTGTGGTTATTAGGTAGGTTAATAAATAATATGGTATATTTTTAGATAACACTTTTGTTGAAAACATTTTATTCACAAAGAATTATATTGTTGCGTAGCAAATAATTATTACCTAATGCAAATATTTATTTATGTATTTTTAGGTGATTCTGGATATCCTCAGCGGCCATGGCTGATGACTCCCATATTAAATGCAGTTCCTGGCTCAGTTGAAGATACATATACTCAGCGACATGTACAAGCAAGAAACTGTATAGAGCGCTGTTTTGGATTGCTAAAGTCACATTGGAGGTATTTAAGACACAGGATTTTTTACACATTTATATCATTATTTTACAGGATTATTTAAGACACAGGACCTTGCATAATCATCCTGAGATTGCTGGGAAAATTGTACAAGCCTGTTGTGTGTTACACAATATGGCTTTAGAGGCCAATTTACCTCCTCCATCTATTATGGAAGTAGAAGAAGATGATGCTCAACCTGACAATGCATCTGATAGTGTTGGTGCTGCTAGTGATCAAAGTGAGCTACTCCAAGGTAGGGCAGTACTGAATATTCTTTTATCCAGACTTTAAAGTATTTCTGAGCTGTTAGTGGGTAATGGTATGTGTTGTGTGATTTTTTATTCTTTTTTTTTAATTTAGGGACTTACGTTATGTGATTTGTGAAAGCAATGTAACAAAGCCTTATTACTAAGTTGAAGGTATATCAAAATTAAAGGTCAAGGTTTTCTGTCAGATATGTTCCATTAATAGAATTATACACTATCCAAATTTTATTGTACAATTAATTTTATGTTAGTAAGTAGTAGATATAGAGTTATAATTTTGTTTTTGTAATTTTAATTTTATTCTTTTGCTGTGCCCAAGGTCCATGTTTTGTACATAGCTTTAAATGAATATGATTATAAACAAATAAAATTTAATTACATTATGCATGGAATACATGTCATAGTTTATGGGAGAATATTGTTACGAGCTTGAGGTTTGTGACAATAAAAATTGCCGATAGAATTACCAAAATTTAACAAAGCGCCGAAAGTTCGAGAGTCAGCTTCCAGAAGCTTAGTTCTTCGTTTCGACAACAGATGGCGCTGTCGGTTGAAAGATTAGTGATGTCATTTTCTGGAAAGCTCTCCCCTCGCTCCGTTACCCGAAACTAGACGGCGCTAGTGCCAGATGTCAACTTAACCGCGCAATTTACATTTTTAGAATTATACACTATGCACTATTAAGTCTAAATTAAGAAATGAAAACAAATAAAATATAAGTAATATTAATTACATAGCACAGTCAAATAAAATTACATTAGGGGTACAATAAATTACGTTACTTAAATGCTAATTCGGTCTCAAATCACGAGTATCCAATAGTGACAGAAGAGCTGTTATTTTTAACAGCTCTTCTGCCTCTACGCGGCTGCGGACTTCTTCGACCCTAACACGCTCTCTATCAAGTTGCAGATGTTGTGCTTCTATTTTGAGTCGTTCAGTTTCAAGCTCGTGTTGACGCGCATCCCTCTCCCTTTCGAAACGCAACCGATTCTCCTCTATCAAACTCGCTGGTGGCTCGGTCAAATGGTGTTTGTCGCAGTCTTCACAGTCTGAGACGGCGATGACGAGGTGTAGAAGGGCCAGCAGATACCGGCGACCTTTCTGAGAACACAGATGAAAGCTATATACTAAAGAAAACTAACGAAATATGGTGGTGGTGGTTCTATCTATGGTGGCAGTGAAGTTATTTAATAATGTTGGTAGTTTCTATAACTCATAATAATGAATATTCAATAATTTAGTAGTAGGTATCCTAATACCTTTACAAAATTAATTTTGTAATAACGACCTCCTTGTATAGTTCTACTATTTGAAGGTCCTGGCATAGGACTGACAGGATGTGCAGGTGGAGATGTTACATTTGCTGGCACTGTTATGGGTGCATCTTCTTCATCTGGTGGTAATGCCAAGAGCTCAATTTCTGCTGGTGATGGTATCCTCTCTGCTGTATCAGCTGTATTGCTCACTTGAGGTTGGGATGGATTCCTAAGTGCAAAAATATAACCAGTTGTTGACCAGAAATATGCAAGTTTTTATGAAATCAGCAAAACAAGAAAAAACATTAATATATGAAGGGTTCGCTTACTTGAAAGCCTGTTTCTTGTATGGCTTGACTTCCAGTAATTGCGGTGACCCCAATTACACGTAACACCCTTTCTTCAAGTTGACTTAATGGTTTTCCCCTACCAGACCCACCACCAGTACCATGAATGTCCTGATTTTTAAGAGAGGCTTTCTTTTTTGTTTTAGTTTTCCAGTCAGACCATATCTGTAGCACAAAATACGAAATAATATATTGAAATAAATGATCTTCATAGGTACCTATGCAACAGCAGTACATACTTTGCTTAATAATTACCTACATAATCTTATTATCTATATTACCCTTTTCCATTTATCGGAAGTTTTGTTAACACCACATCAACCCACTGAGTTTAAAATTTCAGCTAACTCTTGCCACAGGCGTTCACTCCTTACCCTTCCTTGAAGTCCAACTTGTTGCCTTGAAAGATCACCATGGATAAAAATAATATTCATTCTTATTGAGTTTAGTGTACAGTGAGAATAAGAGCAAGTAAACAGTTTGCTATTAACATTCTAATACCCTGTCTAAGTAACAAGTATTAAGGTTTGGAGTAGAGTTTATCTTTATAAGAATAACAAAATGTAAGAACCACAATCACATAAGTGCACCATTGTGAGGTTGTTTACATTATGCATTCCATATTCTCAAGTAGGTCCAATACTAGTTAAAACAGGGAACAAAATTGAAATAATGCCAGTTTTTATGGAATTTATCGCGTATATTTAACTTTTTAAATACCCGACGATTCGAGCGCTTTACAGCACCCATGGTCACGGGGGGGATAAATTCCGTAAAAACTAGTGTTATTTCAATGTGTAATGTTCGCGTAAACACATGGAACAAAAATTTGAATAAATGGAAACATTTGGAAAAAAACCTAACTTTCCATAAATTCTATTAGCAAACTAAATTATTCAGGACTCGCACGAAGTCGCAGTTCTTACAATATCTTCACTAACTTTTTGTAATAAAACACTTCAATAACTTTCAACACAACACTTTTGAATAATACTGAGGGTATGTTCCGAAATACAACGCAGTGTACTGTCCAATGCAAATGACGTCATCATTTGACACTTTATTGTACTAGCGTGCCGCTGCCATATTGTGTCGGATATCCGGCCATAATAAAACAATTTTTAATTGTGTGTTGCCGAATGAAGCATGCCAGAATTTGTTTCTATTTATTCAAATACAAAAAATTATAGAATAATTGATAGTATATCCATTAGGAGGATATAATGATTTTTGGAGCACAAAATGACAAAATAATCGCCAACACTTTTCCAAATGGAGCAAAAGTATGACGTCATATACTGTCCAATGTTTTGAAACGAATCACCAGTATAGCGTCGATTCATGACGTCATTTGCATTGGACAGTACACTGCGTTGTATTTCGGAGCATACCCTCTATAATAAGTTTCTAAGCGCGCGTTTGCGTTTGACAGTGACAGATGCTGACGCAATTGACACTTGCTACACACTATTCCATAGACTAATTAAAGAGTGTTTCGGGTAACGCTGCGGAATGGGCGTTCAGCGTTCCATGTGCAACTTGTCTACCAATTTCAACACACTAACGTAAAGTCCTTAGCGTGAGCGGAATACTCTATGGCGGAATACGCTTGCACGGGAAACACTTGGATTTTGTACCGGGCACGTTCCAGCCTGCAGATACTAAAATTTCGTTAATTAATTTATAAGCCCATTTTTCGTTTTCCCAGGAAAAATAGAAATATAATTTTCAATTTTCCTCTACTTAAAATAGCCATATCTCTTTGAAAAATGATTATTTTTTACTCTACCAAGCGTGAAAAAATTGCCCTTGCGCTAATTTAATTTGCCCGCGTGCTAATTCTTAAAAATATTCAATAATTATTATTGTAAACAATTAAAAAAAAAACCGTCGTGGCATTTCCAAGCCAATTATCTTCGCATTGCGCATGCGCGACAGAATAAAGGTGAAACTCACATCATCAACAGTGTCAGTGTAGCATCAGCTGATCTGCAGTGCCACCTGGATTTTGTCTAGGCCCTGCGTAGTTATCTGCCTATGCTACGCTACGGACTATGGTGACAACAGTTAGATAAATCTCATCCAGTAATTGCATTAATTGTGTTCTTTATAAAAGTAAGAGTAAAATTATTATTTTATTTTCAAAAGCCTTCTAAGATTAAAACAAAAATATCTAGTGAAAATAGATTATTTCAAGAGGAGTGAGAAACGGATTATTTTGTTGTGAAAAATATAAAAATATAAAAGCGCCCAAATATTAAAAACATACTTTGGGTCTGGATATGTGAGCGAATCTTTTTTTTTAAATATTTTTAAATAAATTCATATTATTGTTTATTACAAGAATGTAGTAAACAAAACAAAATTACTATAAAATGCGCAGCGTTTCGCGTGCTTTTTAAAACCAAAACCGTAGGCCGACGAAGGACTTAAGGTACATATAGGAATACAAAAAAAAGCTCCCGCTTTAGAGTGTTGGCAACACAACATTTTTTATCTGTATGGGACAAAAGCCCATAAGCTATTCCAAAAATATTAATTGTCTAATTTTATGTCAATGTCACTAATGTCATTACTGTACAAGAGAGTTATTACACGGAGCACACGCATTTTTCACCCGATCTGCAGTTTTATTATTTATAAATATCTGAAATCCCAACATGGTCCTTCGAACAATAACAATATAGTCTATCCAGCGAAAGAACGGTGAATACGTGTGAAACTTTGGATCATACAACTTCCAAAAGATACCCACGCCACGTCCCGGCCGTAGCGAAAAAGAAACGGGCAAGTCCACTTTAAAATTTCAAGAGCGAGTCCAAAACGCTCCAGAAAGTTTGAGCGCTGCGTTTGAGTGTTCTGGAAATCCAAGTTTGGTTCGAGTATCAGGAAAAAAGCAACTTTCGGTGACGCCGAGAGTGCTTCGTCGCCGCGCCAGCAGGACGCATCTGATTGGCTCGCGTCACATCAAGCCAATCAGAAGAGCCAATCAGCGACGGGTGAGTCTATCGAGACAGGAGCAAGCGTCACCACGTGGCCTCGCCGGCGCGTCGCCTCCGAACGAAGGAATTTTTTCGAATCGAAACGCGTGGCAACCGTCATATTTTTTCATTTTGCTGCAGACAGATTCAGTTTTACAGAAAAAACGTGTTGTTTCGTGCTTGTGCAGTCAGATAATTTCAGTTACAACCGAATTATATTGTTGTAACAGCAACTTTACAGTGTGCGAAACAAGTTTTCAACAATGGATGGCGAACAAATTAGAACGCTCGTCAGGAAACGAGCGTCCATCAAAGGTACTCTAACGAAAATTGAAAACATGTTCAAAAACGAAGAGGGTTACAAGGAGTTTTCTAAACAGGCGTTACTCCTAAAGGAAGAGCGTCTTCGCGATACATTCAAAAAGTACGAAGACTATACATTGGAGATTTGCGCCATAGATCCCGACCTCGATGATGGCGATGATGTAGAAGAGCAGTACAGCAAAACGCTCACCGGGTTGGGTTTACAATTCGGTCGCCTGAATTTGAAGATTCTGTCACTGTGGAGGGGTCAAGGGCGTTTATCTGAAGCACCCCCACTCGATTTTTGCTGCCGGAGCAGCGTCGAAGTATTTTTAATTATTTTTTAAAAATATTGATAAATGATTAATTAATTACGTTTTTGACGTTTCATCTGTCAATGTCAGTCATATCGATATATAGTACTGAATCGATCTAGTGAATCGATATTTCACTCTAGAGAATCGAGATCGAAACTTTTTCTGTTTTATTAAGATTTGGAAAATTATTTACAATTAGTTGAATATACCCTAACTCGTAAAGAATGACAGTTTTTAATTCAATCATTCAATGTTATCTGTACTTTATTGTATCTTTTGATAACGCAAATCAAAAAATGCGAAATCGATCTTTACGATTTCAATTTTTTGTGAATCGATTCATCCAATTTCGATTTGAATCGATTTAAAAATGTGTAAAATTAATCGCTAGGCCGGCCATTTTGTTGACAGTTTTTCGTCATGCCGTTGCTTCAGAGTTTCATAATTGTGGTGAATAGTGGAATATTTGTGGCGGCGGAATACTGCTAAATATCGCAAAGATCCTTTCTTACAAATGGTGGCAGCCATAAATTATGTTTATAAATTAAAGTAGTTATAAAAGTTAATGTTTTGGTGTTATATTGGGTGCAACGTGCACGTGGGGCACCCCGACTCGGACAGGTTAGGTTAGAAGGGGATGACGGAGTCGAGTGAGCGAGCGAAGCGAGCGAATAGACCCCGTCATCCCCTTCGTGGTTATTTTTTTGTAAACCACTCAGAAGTAGGAGCCCCGCGAAGCGGGGCTCCGTCGACCAGGCTTCTTCGACTGCACCACGTTAAGTGGCGTGGGGCTTCCGTCCCCCAACTCTCTCTCGCCATAAATCAGGTTAAAATTGTCATAACCATTACGAAACATAACCTCAAAATGAGATTTTTAAAAATTTATAAAAAAAACTAAGCACGTCCGGCAGAAAGTGAAAGTAGGGGGTGACTCTACAACTCCTCCCCCTCCCCCCACACCACCCCCACCCCCTAATTCAGGCGACCGAATTGTAAACCATACCCCGCTCACCGTCATCAGAGAATTATTGGAAACAATAAATTGTGAAAAAGATTGTAAAAACGGTGTGTTACAAAAAGCTTCAATACAAAGTAACCTACCATAAATGTACCAACGTACTCTGGTAAGTACTCCGAGTTCAAGCCATTCATACAACTCTAGAGAAAAATAACACTTCTTTAAAAACACTATGTATATACTATCAAGTCCAAAAATTGTTAATAGCATGCCTCAATCTAAGCGTGAAATTCTTAGATTCCTAAGTGGATTCTACGACCCACTAGGTCTTGCTGGACCTATTGTGGTAAGCGCAAAGGCTATAATGCAACGCTTATGGCAAGAAAAATTGGACTGGGATTCGGATGCCAAATTGTGAACTGCTACAGCTTTGGCACAAGTTTTATAATAGCTTGCTTACAATGCAACCAATGCATATACCGCGACATATGTATATAATAAGTGTGCATGACATAAGCTTTACACAAATTATAGGGTTTGCTGATGCATCTAGCAAAACTGGTTATGGCTGTTGTGTATATCTAGAGTCGTGGATTCAATGGGTAATGTCAAGATATCCTCGCTTTGTTCGAAATCACGAATAAATCCTATTAAAAAGAGTTTATCAGTTCCTCGACTAGAACTTAATGCAGCTCTGTTGCTGGCAAAGCTTGTCAGCAGAGTTCATCACATATTAACTGTTAAAATGCAAATACAGGATATTATAATTTATTCTGACTCACAAATAGTATTAGCTTGGCTCAAAACTAACATTAGCACACTTAAAGCTTATATAGCGAATCGCGTTAAGGTTATCTTACAACTTACACAAAAATACACATGGTCATACATTAGCTCGAACGAGAACCCCGCCGATTGTCTTAGCCGAGGAGTCATACCAAACGAGCTAGCCGATCATGACCTGTGGTGGAAAGGGCCTGCGTTTCTGCATTCACGTGAGTACAAGCCACAATTAAATTTAATTTTGCCACAGGATTTACCAGAGGTTAGCGTCGACTCTGCATGCTTAAGTGCAATGCTTTGTACTACTTCTGGTGAGCAATCGTTGTCTCGATTTTCTTGAAAAATTTTCTGATATCAATAATATAATACTAATACTAATCACACAAAGAAACACCACATTTTTGACAAAATTTGAAGGTGTATCCACCACATTTTGGAAATTTGCACCGTTGCTGCTTGTCTACCCATACGGACCAATGGGAAACTTGGTCTAATCTCACATCCTTTGCAGGTATTGGTTGCGTAGCTCCTTTACGCCTTTTTTCTTCAATTTCATTTTGCAATGAATTGCTTGGCCGTCCCCGTTTGGTACCGTTAGTCTGCAACCCCATGCGACATAAAGTTTCAACCAATTCCATCCTGTATCTGGACAAATTAAACACTTTTGTGTGCTTTGTACGGACTTTTTTATAAATAAGCCAAGAGTTTATTACTGTCACGTCTAACAAATGATAAAAGAGGCGCATAGTCCACTTACGACTTCTCATTTTTATATTATAACGTCCAATGTAAGAATCTAGGAGATCAACCCCTCCCACGTGTGCGTTGTATTCTTTGATCACTTTTGGGCAAGAGATCGGAACTCGTTCTTTTTTCACTTTATCATAGCGTGTCACAGGTGGCTGGTTCAGCACCAACGTTGGTGGAAAGGATATTCACAGGTTTATTGTCTTTTCATACTACAGCGCTGACATCAACACCATCCACATTCGCCACATTTTCTTCGTAATATCCTCTTGGGATGCTTTTTTTCATGATAGCCTTTTTGTCTGGTAGCTTACAATTGCGAATACGGTTGACACGCACTGTCCCCAATGAATAAATGGCTTCCTTAGCTAAGAAAGTCACAAGCCGTAGAGAGGTATAAAAATTATCAAAGTAGACTATATGGTTTGCTTTGCGAGGTATCATGCGAGCTAGACGTACCACAGTATTCCCTGACTCTCCTAAATTAGGCTCATTAGCTGCCACTGTAGTTTGACTGCCACTCCCTGTGTAAATTTCAAATTTATGAGCGTAGCCATAAAGGCTGCAAAGCAGGTAAAGTTTGAAGCCCCATTTGTGCGGCTTATTGGGCAAATATTGCTTTATATGGTGGCTCATTTTCGTGGCGCACATCTGTTCATCAATCGACAAACGTTGCTCGATTGGTACAGTAGCAAACCTATTATTTAGTGCATCAACAAGCGGTCTGATAAGATAGATTCGGTCATGGTCAGGATGTTCTTTTGGCAAACATTTCTTTTTATCGTTGAAATGTATAATGGACCTTATTTTCTCAAATCGCTTCTGAGACATCGTCGTTTTTATAAGCTCATATCCATACTTGTCATGCCAGTAAAGTCTAATATTAGGAAAACGAATTACAGAAGAAACAATCAAAATTCCAAGAAACTTATTCAATTCATTCTCGTCTATGTTGACTGGGTTAGAAACTTGCTTCTGCGTGGCATACAAGTTACTTTGCTCAACTGTATGTTTTATCAAATCTGGCGTGAAGAAATAGGTAAAAAAATCTAAAGGAGTCTCCCTTTGTGTAAGTTCTTCTGGCAATTGAGTATTGCCCTGAAATTTTAGATCCTCTTCTCTAGTAATGAGATTTCGTTGTCGCCAAACTATAGGTCTTGTAGGGCGATGTGAAGATGAAGTCGGTTCTTGTAAATGTTGATCTGTTTCCATAATAAATATCATCATCGAGCTGGTTAGAAGATGGACTTTTAATGTTCTCACCTATGTGACGCTCTTCGCAATCTGAACCCTCCAGGTCGCGAAAAACATCCCGAGCCGCTTGGTAATAGGTGTCTTCCTCGTCACTTTCCGATTCAGAGCCGTCGAGAACATCTTCAGAATCGTCTAAATTTTCTAGATAGTTCCGTATATCCTCGTCATTCAAGCGGGGCATACTAAAATAAAAACATAAAAAATCCATTAACAACCATACATTACATTTAATAAAAAGTGCGCAATGTTGTTTGTAAACAACATAAATAAAATGCTCAATAATTGCTTTTAAAATAATAAAACTAAAAAAATCACTAAATAATAACAAAATCGAGGTTACAATCAATAGAATAAATAAAAATTTCAACACTTACTTGCACAAATAAAATTGTTTTACGATGACACAAATCTACTTGGCGGGCTTCAACTTTTTTGCCGCGCGAAGTGACAGATCCAGAAAAAAAAAGTTAACTTTTTTTCAAATATCGAGGTTGCCAGTATAATTTTTTAAATTTATACTAATTATAAAATTACTTCACATTGAAATTAAAAAAATACATGTAATGTATGCTGTTCCTGAATGTCAAAACTAATGTGGTTTTAATACAACACTGCGCAATTAAGGGTTAAGGTTATCTTACAACTTACACAAAAATACACATGGTCATACATTAGCTCGAACGAGAACCCCGCCAATTGTCTTAGCCGAGGAGTCATGCCAAACGAGTTAGCCGATCATGACCTGTGGTGGAAAGGGCCTGCGTTTCTGCATTCACGTGAGTACAAACCACAATTAAATTTAATTTTGCCACGGGATTTACCAGAGGTTAGCGTCGACTCTGCATGCTTAAGTGCAATGCTTTGTACTACTTCTGGCGAGCAATCGTTATGTCTCGATTTTTTTTAAAAAATTTCTGATATCAAATAAAATGACGAGAGTTTTAGCTTACATCTTACGTTTCGTTCAGAATGCAAAGTCAAAATTAGTCTCAAAAAATAAACTTAATTATATTACAACTCAGGAATTTGATCTGTCATTGTCAATGATTCTAAAATATGAACAAGAAAAATATTTGTCAGAAGATATTCATGCCTTAAAATGTAAGAAAACAATTGTTAAAGGAAATTTAAAGCCATTATGTCCGTTTATCGATGACAGGGGGTTGGTTCGCGTGGGCGGCTGATTACAAAATGCCTCCATTCCCTATACACAGAAACATCCCATTGTTTTACCTAAGGATTCCCGCATCACTAATTTAATTATTGTAAGTGAACATTTAAAAAACCTCCATGCGGGTTCAAAGCTTGTTCTGTCATCAATAAACCAAAGATTCTGGATTGTGAACGGTCTCAGACAAGTTAAAAAAGTGTTACATACGTGTACTGTTTGTTTTAGATTAAAAGCTGAATCAGCAAAACAGTTAATGGGTTCTTTGCCGCCAGATAGGGTCAATGTATGTCGTCCCTTCCAGAAGGTAGGTTTAGATTACGCTGGTCCGATCCCACTGAAAATAGTCAGGATCAGAAAACCTATAATCTCAAAAGGTTATATTTGCCCGTTTGTGTGCTTTGTAACAAAAGCTATTCACTTGGAGCTAGCCACTTATTTAAAAACAGAAACCTTTATAGCCTGCCTAAATAGATTTATATCGCGACGTGGATTGCCCACAGACATATATAGCGACAACGCTTCAACCTTCAAGTGCGCAAAGAACCAATTATACGAACTACATATCTTTCACAACTCGCCAGTTCACCAAAAACAGGTGTGTCAATATTCAGCTCTAAAGAGGATTAATTTTCATTTTTTACCTTGCTATTTACCAGTCTTCGCTGGATTGGCAGAAGCTGGCGTCAAAAGTGTAAAGTACCACTTAAAGAGAGTGTTACTAAAGTCCATTCTTACTTATGAAGAACTGTATACAGTCATATGCCAAATTGAGTCTAGTTTAAACAGCAGACCTCTCATGCCATTATCCAATGATCCAAATGATTACACTTGTATTACTCCAGGTCATTTCTTAATAGGAACTGCTTTAAATACTTATCCTGAGCCTAATGTAAACATAATAAAACAATCTCAATTTTGGAAAACTTGTAATGAAATAAAAATATTGTTCTGGAAGGTTTGGAGTAAGCATTATTTAAATTTGTTACAAGCTCGCCCTAAGTGGCAAGATATTCAACCTAATGTAAAGGTAGGAGCATTGGTGATCCTAAGGGATGACATTTTGTCACCACTATACTGGCCCCTAGCCAGAGTCATAAATACTTATCCTGGTAAAGATGAAAAAGTGAGAGTAGTTGAAGTCAAAACTGCTAACGGCCACACACATAAAAGAGCTGTAATGAAAGTTTGTGTTCTACCGCTGGAATGTAGTGGTGCTAGTAAAAATGATTGTCTTATAAAAAAAAAAGTTGTACCTTTACACTACTTTGTTTATTACGTAATTAATATAATTAGTTTAATAATAATAATAATAACGTTTTTGTCTTATAAACAAAACAAATGTTGTACCTATCCGTTACATTGTTTAGTACTTAGTTACTTCAATTAGTTTGTTAATTTAGTTAATGTCAATAAGATAACAATTTTTGTTTCTTGTCTTTTGTTAATACTAATATCTTTATTACCTATATTGTCTATGTGAATTAATAGGTTGTTTCAACGTTTGTATACTTTAATAATAAGTACTTATCATTTTAATCTTCCAGTTGCCCCGCCAATATGTTGGCAACACAACATTAAGTTTTTATCTGTATGGGACAAAAGCCCATAAGCTATTCCAAAAATATTAATTGTCTAATTTTATCTGTCAATGTCACTAATGTCATTACTGTACAAGAGAATTATTACACGGAGCACACGCATTTTTCACCCGATCTGCAGTTTTATTATTTATAAATATCTGAAACCCCAAAATTAGAGTGATCAAAGGTAGCGTCCACTATAATCCAACTAACTTATTTTGATCTACCTAAAATATATTATTTATTCTGTGCCAATATTTGGTAGTAATATTTAAAAACATGGGAAGTTTTATAAACATAACATTTTACCACAATTCAGTAGTTAGGAATAGAAATAAAAATAAGTATTGTTTATCGACGGTCGATAAAAAAATGCTTGTTAGTAGATTTTGAAAAACACAGCAGCGTAACAGTTTAAGTATATGTTATTGTGTTGATTAATCCCACAATTTTTAAATTTTTTCTTGTTATTGTAGTGTTTTAATATGTATTTTTAATAATCCTAGCTATAATTCAATTTGTTAATCACACTTACGGGTCTGCCTGAAGTAAATAAATGAATAATAACTTATTAAAAAAAATTCAAAAATCACAACAAATTTCCTCGATTCACAAAATATCAAAATTATGTTGAAGAGTACAGTCGCTTAGTCACGTTCAGGCACAACAAACGAAAACCACTAGTAGTGCGCTAAGCTAAGCTAAGCTGGCGGTGAAGGAAAACATCGTGAGGAAACCTGCATGTCTGAGGAATAAGGAAAAAAATATTTCGAAGGCATGTGAAGTTCGCCAACATGCATTGGGGCAGCGCGGCGGACACTTCCTTGCCCTAAAACCCTCTCAGAAATGAGGTGACGCCCAGGTGAGGTGTGCCCAGCAGTGGAACGTATATAGGCTGTAACTTAAAGTGATAACAGCTGACGACGTGACGAGGTCACGACCTTAGTGCAGTTTAGGCCCGGTTTCCACTAAGCCACAAGCCGCCGGCCGCCGCTGCTTGTTTCCCTCTTGATAATTAAATCGACATAAAATTTACAAATATTTATCAATTAGAATTAAAATTTAATTTGATATTTTTATGTTAAGTTTACTGAAGTAAAATTATTATTATATTATATAGATCATAGTTTATACCGGGTGGCTCATAAGTCCCTTGAAATGTAAAAAAATAATTTAAAAAAAAACTAATGACATTATGAAAAAGGTTTTTATTTTGTCATAATCCTTATAAAATGGGAATTATTTTTTGAAAATTACATCATCTAAATGTAATCCGTTACGATCGCGGCACTCCTGTAAGCGACGTTTAAAATTATCCATATGCGCGGCAAGTAAGCTTGTAATGTTTGCCATTTTCTTTGGATATTTTCTTTCAGGACGTCAATTGTCCGCGGTTTGGTTTCGTACACTTTAGTCTTAAGATAATCCCATAAGAAAAAGTCCATTGGGGTCAGGTCTGGACTACGTGGTGGCCAAGGAATATCTCCTCTTCGAGAGATCACTTTATTAGGGAAAAGTTGACGGACGACCGGCATAGCGACGTTAGAGGTATGGGCAGTTGCTCCATCTTGTTGAAACCAGGTCCGCGTATTGAAGCCTGGAAAATTCTGCAACTCTGGTGTAAAAAAGTCCTGGATCATAGCTACATACCGTTGTGAAGTAACAGTAAGCGCGCGGCCTCTGCCGTCGCCCAAACTGTCACTTTAGGGCTATGTAAGGGCTTTTGATGTTTGCGATTTAGATTTTCGCAACTCCAGTAGCGACAATTTTGCTTATTGACATGGCCGTTGATGTGAAAGTGACCCTCATCAGAGAATAACACGTTATTAAACGAAGTAAAGCGGTTCAACATTTCATTTGCGAAATTTAGTCTGTGGATAGTGTCAGTATCTTTTAATTCCTGTACTATCTGAATCTTGTACGGGTTAAGATGTAAATCTTTCTTTAAAATTCGCTGTAACGATGTTCTGGGTAAGTTTAATGCACTGGAACGCTTACGAGTAGACTGGGTAGGATTTTCACGAATTGAGTGTTTCACTACATCGATGTTTTCTTCCGTCCGTGATGTCCTTGGTCGACCTGACCGTTGTTTATCCAACGTCGAACCACTCTCTTCGAACTTAATAACCCAGTTCTTAATCGTTTGAACACTTGGAATGTCTTTAAAGTTGCGTAAATTCTGATATTCTCGAAATTTACGCCGCGCAATGGTAGCCGAATCATTGTTTCGATAAAACTCGCGCACACAAAATGCACGGTCCGCACCGGTGAAACGCTCCATGGCGACTGAATTCCCAGAAACCGTCGGTACTCCCCCCGCACCGCGCGCGCCACTCATGCGCGCCTTTTGTATTTTATTCGAAATTTACATTTCTAACGACTTATGGGCCACCTTGTATAAAGAATTAAGACTACTGTGCTTTCTATTTCATTATCTTATATTGTATATTATAATCTGTACCACCTTAGCTGTAAAAAAATTTTTTTTTCATTTTCATTAATTTAATTTATTACTGAATCCTAATAATACTAACAGAAACATAACAAAAATAAAATGTACAATAATAAACAGTAAAATCATTGAATGGCCAGCTAGTGTGGGTGGAGTCACAAGCCAAAACATTATGATATTTCAATACAGATTCCTGATTGGGCAGTTGATAGAACACGAAAGTGCCCATTCAACTATTTTACTGCTTTAACAACAAATCAATATCAAAAAAAAAAACAAACTCGCTGTCATGTATGCATTTGTTACCACGTTGTACGTACCAAACATGCAACCTATGCACCAACAAAAATCGAGCATTGATACTAATAGGGGACATACTCAACACGATGAAATTGACATATTTACAGACAGTATGACACGTCTGCTGAATCTTTTTAATAAAATTATCGATAATAAGACAATCAATAATTCGACAATTTAATTTGCTGGACTATTTACTATTTACTATTTTGTATTTCATATGACAAAATATTTCATAGCCTGACATTGTATGATTGCAACCTTTTTTTATATTCATATTTTAATATTTTATTTTCATATTTTAATTTCTCAACAAAATAAGAGCGACAATCCGTCTACAGCCAAGTTCCCGCCAAAAATACGGAATGAACTTTCTTTCTTCTTTATTAACTGGCTTTACGGCTCTGGTTTCTAGACCTTCTGAGCCTATCCTTTCTTTTGGAATCTTCATTTTATGTTCTTTTTCTTCACAATATGCTGATGCATCACATTGCGAAGCCCTTGGGAGATTTTGACGACAGCTCAACCTAGCGGACAGTTGATGACGACAGCCACTCAAGTTCATAAGGCGCCCAAGAGATCAAAATCACTTGAGGTTTATATCGACATCAAAGCACTTGTTTCGTCGTTTTCTCTAATAGTTCACACGCGCGGACACTTAATTCACAAAATCGCATCACTATTACTGATCAAAATCCACTTCAAACTATTATTCAAACGACAAAACAGGAGCGACAATCCGTCTACGGCCAAGTTCCCGCCAAAACTCCTACGGAACGAACGCTTCGACTTAGCCATGGAGTATAGAGGTAAGGGGGGACCTATCTTATTTGTAACACATTGTATTTGAATACTTATGTTGTAAATTTGTATTTTATTACTAAATAGATCGGGGTAAAATAGCTACAAAAAGGTTATTGTAAGTATAAAATATCGTGAATAATTCCAAATTTGCAACTATTTGTAGGAGAAATTTAGTATGTAATTTTCATATGAAATTTTATTCGATAGAGAATATGTAACATGAATTATTTTTAAATAAATTCATATTATTGTCTACTACAAGAATGTAATAAACAAAACAAAATTACTGTAAAATACGCGGCGTTTCGCGTGCTTTTTAAAGTCAAGTAGGCCGTAGGCCGACGAAGGACTTAAGGTACGCGTATAGGAATAAACCCACTATATGCCGACTATAAAACATTCATAACTTATTTTGATCTACCTAATATATATTATTTATTGTGCTAATATATGCTTAATATTTGGTAGTAATATTTAAAAACATGTAAAGTTTTATAAACATAACATTTTGCCACAATTCAGTAGTCAGGAATATAAATATAAATAAAATTGTTTATCGACGGTCGATAAAAAATGCTTATTAGTAGATTTTGAAAAACACAGCAGCGTAACAGTTTAAGTATATGTTATTGTGTTGATTAATCCCACAATTTTTTAAATTTTTCTTGTTATCGTAGTGTTTTAATGTGTTTTTAATAATCCTAGTTATAATTAAATTTGTTAATCACACTTACGGGCTCTGCCTGAAGTAAATAAATGAATAATAACTTTTATTAAAAAATTACATCAAAAATCACAACAAATTTTCTCGATTCAGATAATATTAACATTATGTTGAAAAGTACAGTCGCTTGGTCATGTTCACACACAATAAATGAAACCACTAGTAGTGCGTTAGTGCTGATATTGATAGCCGTGTTATCAGTTATCACTCGCGTGTGCGATGTCTTACCCAAACGAGGAATCGAGAAAAATCATCTCGGGAAATGTGACTGCAATTATGCAGATGTTCAGACATTATAAACCGGTATTGCAAATGTATAGAGGTACAAGCCGTATATATTGAACATCTTTGTGATCGTCAAAAAGACAGTGAAAGAAATGAATTAGTGTTTGTGTGAATAGTTACCACAATCGGTCAAAATAAAATTTTAAATGTTGTGATAATCGACTACTAAAGTGAAAAGTGTAGTGAGCCGTGGTAGCTCAAATGGTTAACGCTCGCTGTAAATATAACAGAATGCTAGTAACCCGGGTTCGATCCCCGCCGGCACCAATGAAATTGTTAATTGCAATTGTAAGTGCTGATTTACCACGTGCTCGGCGGTGAAGGGAAACATCGTGAAGAAACCTGCATGTCAGAGGAATAACGAAAAAAATATTTCGCAGGCATGTGGAGTTCGCCAATACGCATTGGGGCAGCGCGGCGGACATTTCCTTGCCCTAAAACCCTCTCAAAAATGAGATGAGGCCTGTGACCAGCAGTGGGAGGTATATAGGCTGTAACTTAAAGTGATAACAGCTGATGACATGACGAGGTCACGACCTTAGTGCAGTTTAGTCCGGTTTCCACCAAAGCAAAGAGGAGAGGAGATGTGCCGCAAAGCTGGCAGGTTATCACCACCAAAGCGGAGAGAAGTGCAGTGGAGAGGAAATGTGAGATTTGTATAGCAGAGATGTCAGCTGTGAGACATCGAAACCAGTCAAGTTCTGCCTACGAAAGGAAGACGATCATGTCGTTCGAAGTTGTATCTGAATTTGTTTGAGGAAGAGGAATTAGATGTTGAAGACACACAATTAATTCTTAAATATTTAAATTATCGACGGCAGCATAGATTCTGTAATAAGAAACAATATAAAATGTCACAGCCTTGGCGAATATGCCACTCTATTTCAAGAATTTGATATGAGTTTCCAAAAATCTTACAGGGAAGAAGGAATAATTTTTACGCCACCCGGTCGCCCGACTAGACACTTCGCTCTGCCGCGCCGCTTGCTCGCTCGCCGGTCAAAATTCTATAGAAAAATAAGATATCTCCTCTCCTCTTCGCTTGATCCATTTCCTCCGAAGCTAAGCGGAGAAGTGATGTTGAAATAACGAAATGCGTATTAGGTTTATTCAAACACATCTCTCGTTTCCTCTCCTCTCTGCTTTGGTGGAAACCGGGCCATAATGTACGCACCCGCCGGCCGCCGCTACTTGTTTCCCTCTTGATAATTCCAGGCAGAGGTAATCAATCGACATAAAATTTACAAATATTATTTAATTAAAATTAAAATTTAATTTGTTGTTTTTTATGTCAAGTTTACTGAAGTAAAATTATTTCTATATGTTTGAATACTGTATAATATATTAATTTAAGTGAGGACCACAGAACTATACACAATTGTTTATTCACTCCAGCTTAGTTAGTTGGTTGGTAAGATCATAGTTTATAATTATATACTAGGGGCCTTATTCATAAAAGAGCCGTGGTAGCTCAGTGGTTAACGCTCGCTGTAAATATAACAGAACGCGAGTAACCCGGGTTCGATCCCCGCCGGCACCAATGAAATTGTTAATTGCAATTTTAAGTGCTGATTTACCACGTGCTCTGCGGTGAAGGAAAACATCGTGAGGAAACCTGCATGTCTGAGGAATAAGAAAAAAAAATATTTCGAAGACATGTGAAGTTCGTCAACACGCATTTGGGCAGCGAGGCGGACACTTCCTTGCCCTAAACCCTCTGAGAAATGAGGGGAGGCCTGAGCCCAGCAGTGGGACGTATATAGGCTGTAACTTTACTTTTATTCATAATATCTCGTTAATCAACATCTTAAACATTACTTAACTAATCAACTAATTAAGCCTTAAACAATGGTTAAAATTTTGTTATTCATAAACGATACTTTGACATTGCTTAGTTAAACATGACTTAATTTTTTTATCAGTGATAAAGTTTTGGTAGAAACTTGGCTGTATGCGTAGTATGTTTTTGCCATAAGCCAAATTTAAAAATAAAGCTGTCATTAACTGCTGGTTAGTGCCGTTTATACAGTAATTTGGTGCCGTTTGTTTGTCTGCTTTGCACTTTGGAGATTAAAGATTTGAAGTAACTGTGAATTTTGAGAACGAAATATTACAAAATGGAAAATAAAGTTAATTATAAGCGGAGCTGCTCCTATAGCTGAAGTGAATCAGAAAAGGTGTGAAGAGATTTCTGTTGGTAATCAGTAAATATTAATGTCATATTCATTTCACTGTAATATCTAGTGTACCTTTTGCAGTCCTTGCTTATACAATTAATAAAAGAAAAATACATATTACTGAACACAATGATGTAAGTAAAAACAACAATCATTTAAAAAAGGCAGCGTGGCAAGATTCTCCAAAGGTTTGTCCGAACATTTAAATAAGTTATAAAAGTCATGTACTGAATGATACATGTGGTATGTTTTTTTGTTTTAGCTTTAATCAGCTGAACGACACGAGGAGAGATCTCACACAATTAATAAACCTGTGGAGTTATACAAAAATCAATATCAAAAAGAGGGACTTCGAATATTGGCTCAATTGTAATGCAACTGGTGGAGGCCCTCGCTTGCCTAGTAATACAAATGCTTCATACTGAGTTTGAAGTAGATGTAAATTATTTTCATAGTAACAGCATTCACAGTAAAAAAGACCATGTGGTAATTATTGGTATTTACCAGTGTCATATTTAAGTCTTGGATTGAAGCATACTGAACCTAAAATATGTATTATTTCAGAATAAAATAAGTAATACAAACTTAATTCAACCTTGTTGTTCTGGTTCTTCACTACCACTACTTGCAGAAATAGTATGTAACATGATCAGTTTTGTTTTATACACTTTTGATAAAAAAAATTGCCTCGACTTGCTGATGGGATTCACTTCCTAGTACATCACACTTATACATTTATCATAGGATTAATATACAGTAGACCCCTGTAATCTGTCCCCCTTGTAATCCGACATGTCTTTAACTTGTAGGTAGATCTGAGTCGTGCTATGAATAAGCCACGACAAACAGGTTGCAATCACGAGTAGTCCTCGCCACCACAAATCTAGCTTGATGTGGATTGTCTCAGTTCAAATGTGGCTATGGTAGCAGCCTTGCGGGGATACACTACATTATATTACCACACATATATATATATATATATATCTATATATATATATATATTTTTTTGTATATTACAGGTACCAACACCAAGTCCATAATTGGAAGGTAATAAAAAGAGCCCAAACTGAATAAGAAAATTAAAAAGACAGTATGTATCATATTAAAATGATATAGTTAACATATTTTGTATTTCCTAAATGGAATTGTAATCAATTTTGCTTTCTACCATTTAAGGTCACACCTGTTACCTCAGAACAGAGAAAATTATTTCTCTTGGTAAAATCTGCACGAGAGAAATAAATGGAATTCCAAGAAGCAGAGTACAGAAGGCATATGGAAATAATGGAAGCAGAACATAAAATGCGACTGGAAATAATAAAAAAGGAAAATGAATACTGGGGAAAAAAACTCGCAGATCAAAATTAAGTTATCATTTTACTATTAATTTTTTTTTTAATAAACATGTCTCGTATAACATTTCTTGTGCTATTTAATTTACTGCCTTCCTCATTTTCTTCGATGTCACTAGAAGGTAGGAGGGTTATGTACATCTCGGGTTGGAAAATAAGTATTGTATAATGTACCTCCTTCATCAATTTCATTCCATTTGATTGCCAAATTATGCAGTACAGCACAAGCTATGATTGTGGTTTTTATTGTTTCATATGAACCATGCATAACTTCTAACAATATTCTGAATTTGCCTTTCCATACACCAAAACACCGTTCTACTACATTTGTTATTTGTATGTGTTTGTGATTGTAGTGGTGCTCGGCTTCGGTTAGAGGGCGTAAAACTGGAGTGAGCAGATATGACATACAAGGATATCCACTGTCTCCTAGTAGCTTTCCACTAAATTAACCATTTTTAAACCTTCTTTTTATCTCACTCTCCCGGAAAATGCGGGCATCATGAGTGCTACCTCTCCAACGACACACACCACATCATTGATTGTCAGGTCAAGGCCACATACTACTAAATAAATGAGATATATTGTTTAAATAAATACCTATAAATAGACTCATAAACAGTGTTATAAGTACTGAAGTTAAAGCTGAACTATAATATAAAGAATGTTATTTATTTTGTTTCAAGTTACGGTTTGATTCTTACCTGTGTATTGATAGAATCATGGCCTTTTCTATTTACAAAATACTGACCAGTTTCACCGCCTACTTTTCTAATTTTTACATGGGTGCAGTCAATAGCTCCTATTACATAAGAAAACCCACAAACACCAGCAAACTCTCTTTATACACAACTCTGTTCAGCAATTGTTGTGGACATTTTTATAAATTCGGAGCTCTTACTGGCTAATGCACGAACAACTCGTTTACAGAGGCGAGACATGGTTTGTTGACTTATGCCGTGCAATTCTCCGCAGTCATCATGTATCTGTTAATGTAAAATTAAACTCAGTAGATGTACAACTATCTACCTTAATCGTTCATTGAAGTAATATTGACGATATTCATTTAAGTAGGTAATAAATTCTAAGATAATTTATGCACTCACCTCATGCCGCCCCCAGTGCCTAATCACAGACATTACTTGAATGTGGACCGGTATCCCGCCACCTCTTGTGTACACAGCTATGTCATCCTTTACGAGATTTATTATTTTCAACATTATGTCTTTGGAAAATCTGTATTTTTTCCTAAATTCCACAACATCATAGTCCACTAGAGGATCCCACCTTGGGCTTATATATTTTTGCTCGAAGGGGCGGGCACATACTCTTGTACATCTAACAAATCCTGCTCAAAATTGTATAAGTTGTCACCAAAATCAAAATAATCCATTAAGATAATGTAAAAATCACGCAAAACCAGTAGAAAAATAAGTCAATAGCAAAGCAATTTGGCAATGAAATCTATCACACGAAAAATCATATGTTGATTGCTAGGGGTTTGGTCCGCCATTTTGTTGATTAAGCTTTTAAACAAGGGTGTGAGGGTGTTTAATCTGACAGTTAGTTAAGAAACGATGATTAACTCTAATCATTGTTTATGAATGCCAATTTTTTAAACAATAGTTTAAAGTGTTGCTTAAAGTTAAATAATGTTTATGAATAAGGGAGTAAAGAATTAAAATTACTGTGCTTTCTATTTCATTAATATCTTATATTTTAATTCTTATATTATATATTATAAATTAATGTATATTTTTTCATTTTCATTATTTTAATTTATTATTTACATGTAAATCATATAGAAACAGAACAAAAGTAAAATATGCAATAATAAATTAATAGATAGTAAAATAGCTGAATGGCCTGTAAGTGTGGGTGGAGCCACAAGCCAAAACATTATGAGATTTCAATACTGACTCCTCCTGATTCTGCAGTGCAGTTGACACAACACGAAAGGGCCCATTCAACTATTTTACTGCTTTCAGACAACAACAACAAATCAATATCAAAACAAAAATAAACAAAAACAAACTCGCTTGTCATGCATTCGTTACTCCTTGTTTACTATTGCCTCATAATTATGTTGTATCCAGTAGTGGTTTTTTACCTCATTCAGCGATAACCTTTCTTTACTTTGAGAGCGGAGAAGCTGAAAAAGAAACATTAACACTGAATTTTATGTTAGATCCTAAAGAGAAATAATAATGAACTTCATGCTATGCACAATTACTTTCCTTAGCCACCAGCCTTACCCTCTCTACCTAGATTTTGTATTTCATTGTTTATAGTAATTAAGGTTTTTACTTCCAAAACGAAAATGGTTGAGAACATCTGTTTATAATGCTGGCACTGATTGCATATAGAGCTTAGAAATCTCTATTAAGCTTTTGTCACTTCAGATCAAAAAATGATTTTTATTTAAGTTAAGAACAATTAAAAGCTGTTATCAACACCACTTGCTGCTTTAAAAACTGTAATTTTGTGTAGTTATATTAAAATTATACCTTAGATATCAGATCCTTAGCACCTTCAGAGACATGTTCAGGGTATGTCATGTCTACAGCTAGAATTCTTATATATGTCTCGTCCTGGTCTTCACTCTCAAATGGTGGTTTACCCACTAGGAATTCATATAATAATACTCCAATACACCAGTGGTCAACAGAAAAATCATAAACTTCTCCTCTTATCATCTCGGGTGGGAGGTAGTCTAAGGTTCCACACCTAGTTCTTCGTCTAAAAGATAAAGAATACTAAGATTTTTGACTACTATTGTTAATGTTGTATCCCTCGTAAATTTCGACAAAAGTGATAATGAAGAGTCAAGTGAGAAGCTAAATAATGCCTCAAATAATGTTAAATTACAGTACAAGTGCAAGTCAAAATACAGGGGCTATCACTTATTTTAAGTCCCCTACATATAAAATATATAGTGATAAAATAATTGGTAGGCTAGAATTTAGTATCAGATACCAGAAAAAAATTGCATTTTACAATAAATAAAATGTAGATTAACCTACCTTTGTGAAGGAGCATGCACTGACCAGCCAAAGTCAGCAAGTTTGAGATCACCATTGAAGGCAATTAAAATATTTTCTGGTTTAATATCCCTATGTATAACATGATGTTGATGACAATACTCAACTGCATCCGCAACCTGAAATTTTAATGCTTTAACAACTAGTGATAAAAAATAAAATAAAAATGTGCAATAGCAGTAGTCACTCTTGCGTGAGTGCTCTCACTAGATCCCGCTCAAGAAACCTCGGACCAAGAGGCTTGTGTCCGAGTATGACCATGAATACTCCCACCTAATAAAGTTTCAGAAGATAAACAAATATACGAAAGTAACTGCTGCTTTTTTTCTACAAGCAGTTAGTTACAAATAATATTTACAGTAAATATATGAACTACATATCATAGAAAAGATGAGATTTGAGTTGACCCTCCATAATCTGGCCCATGTCCAATCAGACATGGTCTATTATTTATTATTGAATATTTTTTGGACAAACTTCGCCGCCAATGCATGATTGAACAAGTTATAACTTGAACACATCACCACTACAGCACTCAATGCGTAGATATTGTTTTGATTCTGATTGTTTAGTTTGAATTTGATGTAATGAAGTACGATTTGTACATAAGATTAAGAATACATATACAACATACAAAATCCTATCATAGGGTCTGTAATTTGTCAGATTACAAGTACTCTTCTGTAAAAAATTCTGGATTATAGGGGTCTTAGGCTGTACTCTATGATAAGACAAATTCGGTAGTCCAACACTCTCCTGCAAAGTGTTTTTCGGATTACCGGAGTCCACTGTATAGTAACAAACAGACAAAGCAGTTGATTTATATAGGCTGGTAAACAAGAAAATGTAATTATTTTTTAAAATAAAATAAGGGTGGCAAACAAGCACACAGAACCTGATGTTAAGTGGATGCACTGGCCCGTATACATCTACATTTGTACTCTATTAAGAATCAAAATACAGATGTGTTGTCACCCCTGAGGACTAAGATAGAATGCCTCATTTCTGGTAAAACAGGTGTCCTGGTTCTCAACACTCACCATACGAAACACAAAAGCATTATTGCTATTTTACACTGGTATTCTGTGACAGCATAGTCCTACCCCCGTCGAGCCAACTAATTCATGCTTACAACCATAATACAGCTGCAGCATAGCTCCACCACATTAAACTAATTTATTATAGTCAATATAAAGTCCACTGCTGAACCTACACTGCCTAGATGCTGGCTCAAAGCTGTAATATTTGTTATAGTCTTACACTTGGCAAGTGTTTTGGTAACAACATTGGTAATGCCTCACTGTGGTAATACTTGTCAGAGTTGTACCCGTGGCCAGTGATTTGGCAACAACATTATTTAATACATTATTTAATATCTCTTCTAAGTGGCCACATAGCAGTAAAGTAATATACATAATATGTATGTATAGTGTATCAGTTAATATGCAAGGTTTTAACTCAATTTTCTTCAAATTGTGTTAAACCATTATTACCATGGATAAGAATTATTAATTGAGGATATTGTTCTGTCACATTTTCATAAATATTATACAATTTTTTATTAATCGGAATGACATTTAAAATAATGTTAGGTATAGGGTAATTACTTGACAAATGTATTTCGCAGCCTTTGCTTCTGTAAAACGACCTTCAGGTGCATTTGTAAGGTGTTTATATAATTCTCCACCAGCGGCAAACTCCACAACAAGGTAAATGCGTCTCTCATCATGGAACCACGTCAACAGACGTAAAATGTTTGGATGTCTGTAAAGTTAACACAGAAATTTTTGATTATAAGTCACACAAAAATAAATTAATATATTTAGTTTAACACAAATGTTTAGAGTTC